CAACATGATCATCCCCGGAATCGACAATATATCAAGCCCCAGATAGTTTCAGATAATCTTGGATCAATCACATCATCTTTTCAGTAACTATTTATAATTTATTATCTTGTGGGTTGGGACCCTATCCCCAAATCCTAACCCCTGTTGTCCTGGGTGGTATTAACTCTAAATCTCGGGACTGGGCAAATACAGTAGATAAAGAATCAACTTGAACCATTTTCTTTCACAACCATTCTGTCCTCCAAATCGATGAAGGAAGGTTTCTTGGGAAGTGGGGTTTCATCCACCTGGGTCTCCATGAAAGAACTCTCCTGACTGGCCCCCGAAGCTGGCACCGAGCTGTCAGCACCAGGACCAGAAGAATCAGGCGGCAAAGCTGGCGCAGGCTCCGCTCGTGAGGGTGGCGGTGGCGCTGAAGTCTGGTGGCAAAATGCATTTTCTTCAGCCTGTCAGCGAATGATGGATTACCCAGTATTACCCCAGGAAAGTTAGATAATTGGAAGGGTACACCCATGAAAGTGGAATTCTGATAGAAGGTAAAATTTACAAGGCCCATAGGGGATGAAAACCAAAAATGCATCTGAGGGATCCCACAAGGGGCACGGGGTTCACATTCGCCCCTGCCTCAGAGTCACATTCGCCCCTACCCCAGCTAGGGTCACATTCGCCCCTACCTCACTCATATACCTTTTAGGGTTTAACCTAGGGGGAGACCTGGGGACCGGGGTTTAAGGGGGGGCAGGGGGGGACTTGGGGGAATCTATCTATCTATGTATCTATTTTTCTATCTATCTATCGATCTATCTATCTATCTATCTATCTGGGGGTTAACCACCACCCCCAAGGACCAGGGCTCCTCCCGCCAGGGGGTTGACCACCACCCCCAAGGACAACCTGAGCGGAGCAGTCGCTGATCGGGATGTCTATAAATATAAATATATATATATATACATACATACATATCTATCGATCTATCTATTTATCTATCTATCTATGGGGGTATGACCTATCTATCTATCTATCTACCTATCTATCTATCTATCTATCTGTCTATCTTTCTACAACTAATGATGTTTCTATTACGCGATCAAAACAGTCAATGGGGTCTATGGAATGTTTTTCAACGGGAGATGACCTTGTGTGTACTACTATACGTTCCTATTTCATAAAGTGGTCAGAAATTAAAGAGTTATTCTTAACTTCACACATTCCCCAAGATACCCTATGCCCCATTTCTCTATCTATCTTGGAACTTGCCAGACGCTCTGGATACTACGTAGGTAACTTCTTCTTGCAACTTGGCAGACACTCTGGATACTACGTAGTTAACTTCTTCTTGGACCTTGCCAGACGCTCTTGATGCTACGTAGGCAACTTCTTCGTGGCACTTGCCATACACTCTTGATGCTTCGTTCTTACTCTCTTTTTAGAACTTGCAAGACACTCTTAATGTTCTCGAGACTCTCTTCTGGCTGTGAACTGAACCTCAAATCTATTGCGCCTGCCACGCAAAACCAAGTCGGGTCACATTCGCCCCTACCCTAGGGTCAGCTGCGCCCCTACCTCCCCCTTCAGTAGGGGCAAGCGCGACTCCAAGTGAGGTAGGGCCAAATGCGACCCCCATGCCTCCAACAAGTTATCATGGACATTGTGTCTATGTATTGCCAAGCCATGGATTCCCCAAAAAAAGGTTCCCTACATAGTATATATACTTCAACTTTCCCTTGTTCTTTAATCTTTTACACGGGCAGTATCTGGAATGATAAGGTGGCAGCTGTTTCTCACAATCCTGGGACTGGCTGTTGAATTGGTTGTAAACATAATGGGGTTACTTGACCGAACTTCAAATATCACAACATATTTTATACAAACATTCTTCCAAACACCCCCCAGGATTATCCCAAACTTCCCATACAACCTGTTGTAACTTATCCCCGAATCTTTGGTGGTATATTGGTTGAAAGGCTTTGGGGTACCGGAATTTGGGGGCCTCTAAAGCAGCCAATTCTGCTTCCATTGCCGCCACATCCGGCTCTCGGCAGGAACCCAAAGACATGGGTAAGGTCTCAACAAGGTTGAGGCCCCGCTGGAGGATTTGGCAAGACCACGCCCGACTGGGTAGCTCTTGCATCTATCCCAACACTGAGCCCAAATACCGCTAGAACACTCAAGATGAAGAGTAACTTCACAAATGCGGTCCTAAAACCATGAAATCCCTTCCACAAAAATGATGTTTGGTGTTTTGAAAAAAGTTATAAAATCTCAATCCGGGTAGTTCCGCCCACTTCCCGCCGATTTCCGCCCATTTCCCGCCGATTTCCGCCCAGATTTTTTCACCCAAATTTGATCTCGATACAAGAATTTTGTGCTATTGAATTATTCCCACTCTTGGAAACTAGATTGTAGTGGGTAACAATGGCTTGTACTGAGCGGGAATTTTCAACCCCTTGCATCCCCTCAAATATTTATAAACACTTTTCAAATCCGCTTCATCCCACCAGTCGTCGAATTCCATCTCCTTGAAGATTTCCACAAAAGGGCGACTGGTGTCAACCTGGGGCAGGAAAGAGGATAGTATGGATAAATATATCCGAAAACAAGATCACAGTAGTCACAGTAGGAGGGATTAAAACATAGGAAAGCAGTATGGCTAACATTAGTATGCAAGGGGCTTGTGGCAACCTAGCCTCGGGAAGGGCACCTGTTGATCTGAACATAGCAGGTAGGCACCGAACAATATGGCCCGCAAATTTTACGGGATACATCCTTAGTTCCACCAAACCATTTTCGATGAGCACAGTGGACTACCTAGTGCTGCCAAATTTGGAAATGCCTGAAACTTAGGTGGCGTTGTTTGGTTCCAAAAAAGTCACTGAGACATGCCGATTTTCCAACTTAACCATTAGAGACAAGTTTCTGTGTACCCTTCAAAGTTTTCGAACCCTTGTAGGCCATGCGCCCATTGCGGTTTCGGTAGCGAACCACAGTTTTGGTTTTGGTGGGCCCGTGTTTTTTTGCGGACAGCTTCCCTTTATTGAAAGTCCCAATGATTCTGGAGGTTGACCACAGCACTGTCCTCTTCATATAGTCGTGTCCCCAGAAGGACATCCAGAAAGCCTGGCGGTAGACCTGGGCAGGGCGAACGGTGGCACCAAGAAAACTAATGTTTCAAATGGGAACCCATTTCTGGCTCTAAACATGTAGAAACCTTTTACATCCTTTCACTAAGGCACCTTAATCCCCAAAGAAGCAAGGGTTTGCAGCATCCATTGAAAACGGTCGTGAAGCCAAATCAATGAAGATCCGGGATTTTCTAGAACCATGTGGCCCCCAAGGCTCACGGTGACCATAATCACGAGGATACACCTTTCAGGGTGCAAGCCGAAATACAAAAAAAACAACGGATGCTGAGGGTAATTCTCCACCGTGCCCCACAGAAAAGAATCCCAAGCTTAAGTTCCCAAAGCCAGCCTTGCCACAAGCCGGTTTGCTAATTGAACACTGGGATATAGAGGGTGGCCATGCGGATTTAGATAATCCCGACGGCTTGTGCCAGAATTGAGGTGGATCCAGCTCGAACAGCATATGCCCCAAAAAACAACATGGGCGTTGTAGGATCCTTGCAGTGCCATGACCAATGCTGTCCTTAGAGCCCAAGAAACACTAATTTGTTTTAGAAAAATAGCGCCCCTCCAAAATCAATTGGTTGTCATATGTTGTCACCAAATCCCACTAAAAGTTTCTGCTTCTTGAAACACCTTTTGAATGGATCAATCCTCAGAAACCAACAAAAGTTAAGTCAACGAATTGTGAAAGATCAAGAAACAGGAACCCACCATCGCTCCCAAAGTCCATCGCGGTCCCTGACCCCTTCTTCCCTCTGCAAGAAGAGGGAGCCCGTTTGCTTGAAGAGGAAGAAGGTTCTCCTGCTTCCTGCGCCAACGGATCGAATTGGATATCATAACAGGCCGACCGGTATCCACGGCTATGGGCTAAGCGGCCAATTCGGCCAACGCCGGCAAAGAACTCCAAGCACTGGAACTGGCGGCTATTGTTTTCTATGTCCACGAAGTCCAGCCATGTCAGCATCAACAGCACCATAATCAGTGCCTCATTGGCCGAGATTTGGGTTTTGTATCCCATAAACAAACTTAGCCACAGCTGTTTTTTATGCCATCAAGCTGCCTTTGGCGCCTTTAGCATCACTAAACGCCGCAGGACCAAATCTAGCAATGATTGATCCATGGCCAGCAGCTAGCAAACACTAGGTATACTCGAAAATGAAGCGGTCTTTCCAACCAAAAATCTGAGCCATAGCGTTGAAAGAACTTGACAGAGTCATAGATCAAGTGACAATGATGGACAGAGATGGCTGAATCACTTCACTATACTTTGCATCAAGTAAAAGCATGTCAGGTTGGCTAGTGAGTTGGCCACAGAGGGCGAAGGCGCCAAGCCCCTTCCTGAGGTCCCCAGGCGGCATCACTTTGAAGTACCTGGAGAAAAGCAGAGGCGCAATGGGCAAAACATTATCCTGGAAATGGGGGGTTGGGATCGCGAAAAACCAATCAGACAACATGTTGAAAGCGGGGCATTAAGCAAAACCACTAACTGATGTTTAAAAAGACAGCAGAAGGACTTTTCCCAAGCTCTCGCAGCCACAAGATCCAGCATGTTAAGCCACAAGCAAACCCCGGCCCAGTGCAAGTGCACTAGGATGGCTAGAGGCCCGAACATACATCAACTAATAAGGTGACATCGGAGCGCGATCCTACTGAGAAATGAAATGCGATGCGACGGTCGGCTCCCACAGGAAGGCTTCCCCTGCGCAATGTGCAGCATCGGCTAAGCCATCCGAATCGAGCTGATCCAACTGCACCTTTTCGGAACCCCACTTGTTCAAAGCAAATCGCCAGAAAGGAACCTCAAGGGAAACAGCCATATCGTTATTGCCGGTCAAAACCAAACAGTTTCAAATGGTAAGATTTGTATTGATTTGTCTACTCTGAATTAGTTAGAACCCCCCCGGCCTGAAACTTGGAAGGTGCACGCAATTGGGGAACCATGTCGGTCATGTACTTTCTGCGCAAAGCCTCCCAAACCCGACCCATGGTTTCCGTTGTTGGCTTGTACCTGCCTGCGAAGGTGGGGTTGTTCTCCTTGGTCTTTGTTTTCTTGGCAGGGGCAGGGGCTGGCTCTGGGATGGTCGCCTTGGCACGGCTTCTCTTACCTTGCTTCTTAACCTCACCAGCCTCATCACCTGGATTTGCCTCAGCTGCCTCAGCCTGTGGCTTCTTGGACTTAGACTTAGCTGTGGCTTTGGCCTTCGCCTTCGCCTTGGTGCTTTTGCTGGTTTTTGGTTGCTTTCCTTTGCCCCTTCCCTTGCCCCTTCCCTTGCCGTTCCTCCCCCTTCCCCGACCCCGCCCCCGGCCTTTGGCTTTCCCTTTTCCTTTCCCTTTCGCCTCTCGAGCCTTGTCATCAAGATCCCTCTTCCTTGCTTGCTGCTGCAGCCGCGTAACTTCAGCCTCAGGGTGGTGATCATCAAGCAAACAACATCCAACGAAACGATAAAAGAACCCTGACTGAAACATTATTTTTTGAAACCCCTAACATGTTTTACAAACCCCTGCCTCCGGTTGATCCAACACATCTGAGTAGCCACCTTCCTGATCCTGCACCGACCCAACCTGCGAAACCTTTCCTGTAGCCTTTGCTTCCTCACCCAATTCCTGTTCCTTCTCACCCTCATTGGGTTTGGGAGTCACCTCGGGGAAGGGTTTGCCCTGTGCGATCTCCATCGCCTCTTCCTGCTTGGGGAACAGTTGCTCCTTCACAGCTATCTGGGATGTGGGGGGGCTGGGCTCTTCCCGGGCAGCAGCGTCAGCAGAAGCAGCAGCAGCCAAGGGAGAAAGTTCCATGGGCACTGTGTCAACCACATTGACGTCGACCGATCCTAACTTGCAAACAGCGATGCTGGACAAACAAGACTTGTGTTTATTTTTTGGGCGGTCAGTGGACCGAGGTTGAATCGAAAGAAAACATGTGGAACCTTGTTTATCCCAAAGTCGTGCCAACGCACCCTTGCTCACAGAAGTGGTTCCATTCGAACAGGCTTGGCGATCTGTAATCATCCGCCTGAATTTCAAATGTTGTTTTTTGAAGCGGCCTTCAAAAAAAATAAATTACTTTGCTTCGGGTGATCCCCACGGTGACCAATTAGTCTGACATGATTTATGGCAGATCTTCTGATATTGTTTCTGGCATCTCTTTTTGGGTCTCTAGATTTCATCAAAG